TTCCAGTTCAGATGCTACTGCTGCTGGGAATAAGGCAGAGAGGAAGAGAGGAGAGGCATTTCTCCTTCTCTTCCAGAAGGCCAAATGACTTTCATTAATTACATCTTAAACTGTGTCTTAAAACATGCACACATACCTTGAATTATACAAAAAGATGCCTTGCTATAGTCAAGATATGTTATCACTATAGAATATTTACCTCCAATTATATATGAACTGAATCACAACTGCTGGGGCACAAGCAGAATGTGAGAATTAAAATGTAATAAACTGTGGTTAATATAAGAGTGAATGTACCGTTCTACCATTTATAAGGACGACCTCTTAGTGACTTAAGTTGTGTTTGTCTGACTTACATAATAACAACTTTTGATTTTCTAAAAAAGCTAAAAATGTGATGAAATAGTAGAAGCAGGAAACAACAGAACTGCATGCTAAATATTGACTGTTTAAAATACACAGACATTACAAAACAATAATTCAGCAAAAATCCAGGTGCAATACTAAGCCATAGCTAAGAGTGATTTTAACATTTTTAATACAAAAATAGGTATTTTATAGTGAGTTACTGATAAAGTTCTTAAAAATGCCACAAAGTACAGTAAATAGCAGAATTGATATGGTTTTTTAAAAAAAAAATATTCCCATTCTTCTAGTATTGATTACCTTTGTTTGCTACTTGGTTACAAAAGATAAACAAAATGAACTTGTACTAAATTAGAACATGAGATGACTTGTTTTAAAAATAAACATTAAAAGTTTTGGATTTACATTAGAGCAAAACTGTCCAAAACAAATTACCTCAGCTACCTTTTCACTCATACAGTATGCTTAATTACTTATGGTTAGGTGCTTACAGGCCTGTTTCATATTATACCTTCATATTATATATTACTGTTGTCACAGGATAGTGCTAATATAATTTTCTAACTCCTATGTGCTTTAATCTGCAAAACAGAAAACAAAGAAACAAGAGATAGTATACTAATCCTCATAGCTACATTCAAGTGATCCAAAATAATTATACTTGCATGTACAATCGTGGCATTACATGACAATGGTTTCACAGTTTATGTGCATAGCAGGTATCATTTGATATGCAGTACCAGTAAGTACCATGGTTATACACGGAACCCAGACCACATGGAAAGAGTTCACTGCACTTTCCTTTACAGGGAGTCAAGCAGCTAACTAGTACTGGAAACTTTAAATGTTAACCTAAATAAAGGGACACTGCAGCTACCTGGTTCTCCTCAGATAATTGCCAAATCTGACAATCGATGGGAAGGTCCAGAACGGCATGGGAATCTCTGTCACAATAAACCACCAATGACATAGGTCAAAGAGTAGGAGCTTTATGTGTAGAATCCATAAGGCCAGATGCAAGAGAACTCATAGGTTGCAGCCAATGGCACTGCAGTAAAATATAACTATTACTACTTGTATTTATAGTGTTTTTCAAAAAGTTATTGTCTCCAACAGGCACCGGTATTGATATGGAAGAAGGAAACTGGTACTGCCTTCAGAAAAGACTTAGGAAAATAAAAGAAATAAGGGAAGCAGAGAAGAAGAGAGAGAGATCATTTAAAATAAATAAAGCATTTATTTCAAAATATGGATTATATCTGATTTAGATCAGGTCAGTTTTGCCCTGCTGAATAACAATTGTTGATTCCTTTGACTGATGACTGATGACAGAACTGTTTCCAAATATTAATAGGCTATTATGTCTAAACTTTATATTGTTAACAACAACATCTTAACATAATAAAAGCCTTGATGGATCAGGCTAAAAACCCGTGTAGTCCAGCACTCTGTATATCATAATGGCCAATTTGAGGCACACCTTAGGGAAAAAGTAACTTCCTAAACTAAAGGCAGAAATTAGGTGTGTGTGTATAAATAATATACCACTATTAACTGTATATAAAATATATCCCACCTATTATCATGAACTGGATTGCTAAAGAACCCTCTTCTTTCACTTCATTCTCAAGTAACTTTGTGAGGACACTGTTTTATCACAACTTTAAAAAAAAACTGAAAGGAAAAGGAATAAGAGGTATAAAGAATACACTTTTCTTTTTCAAGAAAAAACAGATAATTCTTTCCCCCTTATATATGCCTTTTTTCCATTTAGGGAGTCAAACCATAATCAGCTATTTGAAACAACTGAAATCTGTTCCCAGAGGTTAACTGAGGCAGTTGTTTTGATCCACCTGAATTGGCACATCGCGGGATATATAAACCAATAGTAAGCTTATTTTATAATTAGAACAATATAAATTCATGATGCCCAAATAGGTTTATATCCTATAATTTGAAACCAAAGTTCTGGAAAACACATTATTATTTTTCACAATGATCACCCACTAGCTCCCAGTAAAAATTGGCCCGCTTCAGAGTAGCAGTTAGAAAGCTTACCAGAGAAAGTAGCACATGAAGCAATATCCTAAGTGATGTAGTATTTCTAATTATGTGTTTCATTTTCTTCAGTCCTATCCATCCTATCCTGTAACACATTTCTCAAGCTTATTTGAAAATGGCGATCCCAAGGGGGTGTGTAGGAAAAAGAATCCCGGAGATCAATCTCACAAACAGCCATAAACCCATCCTAACTATCTTCCCATGGAGAGGTCCAGACAAGATGCAGATCCTGAGCTGTGATGGATGGAAACTGTGTGCAGGTGAAGGCATCATCCTGTTCTATTGTATGTTCAGTAATTAGCTGTCAAGAGGCAATTCTCTGTTTAAATGCATAATGTATTTGTATCTCATATTTTCTAGAAGACAACTACAAAATACAATCCTGTGGCACATGACATAGGAACAAGCCTAATTAAGGTCTGACTAATAAAATAGCAGCTATAAAAGCCTACCAAGTTGATACATCAGGCTAAGCCACAGTTTGATAAATAAATCACAGTTGGCTGACTTTTCACAATGTTCTAAGCAAAAACTAAAAAAAAAAAAAAAAAGCCCTATTGGCTTACAGCAATATGTGAATTCAAGTATCCAAAATTCCCATATTCTTATCAATTACAATAAAAACAGAAACAGTTGAAGTAATCATAACTTTTAATTGACCACTATTTAGGTGGAAAGCAAGTTATGACAGCAATACAAAGGAATGGGTTTCAGCTTTAAAAATTATTTTGACAACAATAGTAAGAACACAACATAAAAAAATTGCTCAACAATTCTCTTTCAAGCATCAGCTCAGCAGTTCCAATTGTCTAACTAAAGCTTCTTAAAGGCTTTTGATTCAAATGATCTTTTTCGTTTAAGCGTTGTTGGGGGTAGTGAATGTGCTGCTACTGGGTACAGGCCTGACAACAAAGCAACATAGGCTAGTGTCTGAGCTCTGATCCTCTCCTCCATCCCTACAACTTTTGCAATCCTATGCTTGAAGAATCCATCCACTCCAGTGTGTATCCGTACAGACATGGCGCACTTTAGCAGCAATCCCAATCTTGTCTCCATCCAATATGTATAAATCATACATATTACCATAACTAAGACTACATTCATTCTTATCTCTTTTCTTGCTATTAGATAAAACAGATTGTGTCTTTAAAGCTTTGGACTAACAGACACATCAAACAACTCTCGCCTTGATGAATGGACTACCCGGGGCTTAAACTGTCTTCGATCTGGATGAAAAACAGAAAATTAAACCAATATGCCCAGAATCGCTGAAGACTGAACCATTTTAACACTTACCGCTGGGGAAAGCAACGGTCCTTCCAGAAGAGAGCCACCTGGCAAATTTCCTCTCAACTATCCACTGGGAAGCCCAGAGGTCAGAGAAAAAGCCATTATGCCACGTCAGGTGCAGTCCTCCGTATCCTCACTTCGGAGTAAGCTACACTTTAATCAGAGGAACTGATTTCTGGAGTCAGTGCGACCAGGAATGCCTGATAAGACCGCAGTCTCCTATGTGCTGTTTTGGATAAACGCAGGACTGACCCGCCAAGCAATGCCTCCAAGCCAATCATTACTCGGCTTAAAAAAAAAAAAAAAAAGGGAGACCATCAACACACAGCTCCATCTCTCTTCTTCTGGGCAGCTAAAAACGTCCCCCGCAAAATACGGGGACCTCCCCCTTTTCGCTCAGCATGCCCCTTCTTACTGATTGGACAAAATCCCTGTCTTTCAAGGGAAGGAGGAAGGCGGGCTCCCCAAACCTCTAACGAGCGGCTAGCCCTCCCCAGCGCGTTTTCCCACCAACCTCCATCCTTTCCCACACGTTCCCGAGGCTCCTCCCACTTTCCCTTGGCGTGAGTCATCGCCGCTCCTAGCTCTGCCCACTTTCCCCATTGAATCCGTTTCAAAAAACAGTCCTCATGGCCGGCTCGCTCGTGGGCGCGGCTCCACCCCTTCCAAGTGGCTCCGCCCCTCCACTTCAGGCCTGCGGCCCGGATAGCTACACCGCTCCTGTGGCTCGTGAGGCGGGGCGAGAGGAGCCAGCAAGGAAGCTCCGTCGTGTCTAATCTCCGCAGCCAGCCCCGGAACGACTTCGGTAGCCGGCTCCTTGCTGAATCGGAACCTCCGTCCAGGTTTCGCTTGGCCCATTTTTTTCCGCAGGCCGGAGGGACGGAGGAGAGGGATCCAGAAAGACAACGGCCGAGTTGCTCGCAGTCGCCGGGACGCGGTCCCGAAAGCCTTCCCCCGCCTCGCTGACTCTTCGCGCCGGCCAGGGGCAACGCAGACTCCTCCCCTTCCCTCTTTTTCCCACCCTCCCCCGTAACCGCAGCAGCAGCAGTAGAGCAGCAGCAGCAGCAGCGCCGCCTTCCCTCCTTCCTTTTCCCGGTTCCTGCTGCCCCCGAGCCCGAGAGGCACCTGCACCTCCCTGCCACGGCGAAAGAAGGGCAAGGCCGGAGTCGGCCGCAGTT